TCTGCTTTTAAACCCACTATATTCTTTGTGGGGTTCATCAATTGTGATAAATGATCTGCATGTATTTAAGACGTTTAACAATTGTTAACATATATTACACTTAGTAAAGTAGGCCATTTCTTGAGATTCAGCGAAAACATGTGGCGTTAACCGTGTCAAACAATGTCAAAAGCAAAGTGTCTGAAAAGGACCTTAATAAGTGAATTTCATAATTCAGCAAACGGATGTTGTAGGCTAGCTGCCGAAATTTGCATCCACTTTTCCTCAGTATGAAAGAGCGTACTCCCGCGAGGCTGATTTTATTCCCCTATCTATCAAGTCAGCGAAAGTCAGCCAGTTATCGCGAACGCACCTGTTGACTACCAGTTATACAGCGTGCAACTTCGACAGCTGTTTTCCAAAGTTAACATAGTCTCCTATTAGCTAGGCTCCTTACATGCTTGCTATTAACTGCTTTGAAGATGGGTCTCCGACATTGACAGCGTTGTGTTGGACAGATTTGTGCAGCGGTGTTTTATGATACCAACCATTCATTTACAGACGAGTCTGTGTCCGTGTTTGCGCGAGAGAGAGAAAAGCGACCGAACGAGAGGATGTGTGGAGCGAATATGTGCTGCACGGCGCTGCAATCAAAAAAAACGATTTTAAAATGGGCGCCAAATTTACTGTTAATCCCTGGCGGCCCGCCCAAGTAAAGCCTATGTGTGGGAACACTGTGTTTGGTTTCAAACCTGCAATGTTTGTTTGCTGGCATTACAGAATATTTTAATAAAAACCAACTCAAAACTCTGTCAGAAGCATCGTTTTTCTGCTTGCATGACGACCCAATCAGAGAGCCGAGCGTGAGCGTCTGTGTCATCGTTTCCAAAGTCCTCCGTTTTTGGCCCGTCTTCACCCGTCTTCGCTGTTTTAGTCTGGACGGGAGGTGCAACGTAGCAAAAGGTCTCCGTTTTAATTTGAAATGCAGCAGTGTGGATGGGGCCTAAGTGGGAAATAGAGAAGTAGTCGTTATCGTCTATTTTGAGTAAATATGTTGTAATCTTCACAAGAAATATGTAATGAAATGTAATGAAAGTAAAGTCTAATACAGAACAAGCTTGTTGTTGTATTTCGAGAACTGTATGTGTTGAATAGGTGGGCTGTATAAGAGGGTTTGTTCTTGTCTTTGTAAAATAAAAAATGACAAATGAGCTCACTGAGAAAAAAATAACTCCTGATGTGATTGTTTTTTCATGTTAAGGTTCACCCTCCCCCCTCCCTCCATCGCTGTGTTTTCCTCGCCTCCCTCCATCCTGCGCTGCTCACGATCTTTCAGTTAATGAGTCTAATTATTCGCGGGGCAGCTGATGACATCTGGGCTGGCCGACTTTCCCGTGATTTCCCTCAGCAGCATCTGTCAGCAGCTCGGTTTATCCACCTCCCTGCTGCCCCTGCAGAGGTGGGAAGCATTAGGTCAGTTAAAAGATGAGCGTGTGATCGGCACAACGGCGGCTGCTCAACATCTGAAGTCACTGACTGAGACTGCGACTGTTAAATATTCTGTCAACACATTAACATCTGTGCACGAGAGACTGTGAAATTAGCTGGCCAACAGCAAACTCTGCTGTTAAAGTTAAATCAGTTGCATCTTCACTTTTCCTCTGTGTTTTGCCTCCTGTAGAAGCAGTAACAACAGAAATGCGTCCCATTTCTGATATATATAAATATACAAGGAATATATATAGTTTAGAAAATCTACACAGGCGGTGAAGTACTTTGCTTTGAGCATGTTTGCAGGTCATCCTGAAGTCTCCATACAGCCCCAACAAACGGTTTCTTATAATTTCAAAGGAGCTTGTGCTTATTTTCTCTCCGTATTTACAGTTGTTCATGTCGGCTTGATTTGCAGTTTAATCAAGAGGAAGTTGTGTAACGTGCTGCTTGTTGTATCTGATGTGATGTCGTGGGGTGGATGATTACATTTACACAGCACTTTATCTTGATACCCACAGCGCTTTAGAGAGAAACTCACCTTAACCACCACTGATGTGTAGCATCCACCTGGGTGATGCATGGCAGCCATTTAGTGCCAGAACTCTCACCACACATCAGCTTGAGGTGGAGAGGCGGGGAGCGAAACAAAAATCCAGTTACCCTGGGGGTTAGGTTTTCACTCTGAACTCCCTACTTATGGGATCTTTGGACCTCGGTTTCACATCACATACCAAAGATGGTTTCTCCTACAACAGAGGCTCAGTGAATGGATGTGAAACAATATTACGTTAGTTATTGCGTTTGTTATCAAAGGGAGATCACATAGAGTAGCCTACATGTGTGTGATTTGGTAAAAGATACAGTAGTTTTTGGGAAACTCTACTTTTCCCACTTTATCAGAAACAATAAATGTCTCAGGACAGACCTTTTTTATGAATTTAGTGTAGTCTGAAGTTATGTCAAATAGTAAAATTAGGCTAACTTGGCTCATATGTTGAGTTTCTACGGGATCAAACAACATAATCATGATCCCTGGAGGAATTGAGTGAAACTAAGGGGTGGTAGGAGGACGCCTTTTCCCAAGCTTTGTCTGAGGGGAGGCCCACAGTCTCAGAAAGCCCTTGTCCTACAGCATAGCAAAATATGTTTTTTTTGATGTTGTTTGTTTAGTAAGACCAGAGGGAAGACTGCCCCCTACTGGCCCACCAACTACCACTTTCCAGATGCAGATTAGTTTTCCCAGTAGTCTCCGGTCAAGTACTGTACACCTGTATAGCTTCAGTCATTCAGCAGCTGCTGTAGCTGCTGGCAGTTCACATCTGTAAATCTAAATGGGCTGGCTTTAAACTTTCAGGAACAACAGAACCCTAATTTGACTTTAATATAAACTTAAATGATTGTACTTTAGTGTTTAAAGGCCAATGTATTAGTCTTTGTGAATGAGAGCATCGTTAAGACATACAGCTGTCAGTTTTCACTCATAAATACTTTATTTAAACGTGTTGTCTCTTTAGAGCTGGTGCCCTCTTCACAAATGTTTTTCCTCCACAGAAAAAGAGTCAACCAGAAATAATAATAGCAGTAATATGTATGTTTTTGCAGTGTGTTGGTCCCTCTTTGCCACCTTACTCGTCTGCTGAGAAGAGTTCAGCACAGTTAACGTTAACAAACTGTCAGCTAGCCAGCAGCCTCATTAACAAGCTCGCTGCTGTAGAGCACAAATCAAGTGTATTTACAATAAGACAGTTAAGAAACACATCTGCTGCAGCCGCTGCCAACAGCCGAGGACCTCCAATATGGCCGACCTTTTCCAGTCCCTGCTATGCTTCCGCTTTATTTACACTGAGATTCCTATTAAGTAAGTATAGTTTTGTTGTTGTTGTTACGTGCGGTTCGGACAGTCTTTGTGAATTCTGTAAAAACTAATTAAAATAACTTGCCATTGTAGTTTTTAAAGTTAATAACATTTTAGTGCCTTCATAGTCTGGTTTCATCTCAAATATTTTTAGAAACCGTCAGGTGTGGGCTGTCAAGAGTGGGGGAAAAGCAGGGAAAAACTCCTATTTTCTTTATTCCAAGTTTGTTGCCTCATGTTGCAAGCTTTTTAAACACACCATATACATATAAGCCTAGATGTTGAAATTTGACTTTGTGGTAGCTGGTTATTTAAAACGCCATGAAACATGAAGACCAGAGATTACAGTTTATTGTCCTTTTAAAGGATTTCCCCTGAACTAGTTGAACTGCTAAAAGGCAAATAAAAACATTATTTAAACAAAGGTGCTCTAATAAATCTTAATCAAGCACTCATTCAAGACTGAACAAAGAAACCTCAACCACTTTAACAAATAATGCATCCGGTGCAACTGGAAAGGACCGACTGTATTCGATACCATCTGCTTAATAACTGAATGTACTGATTTGGCCAAAGTGTAGAACGCAGTATGCAAGAAAAAGCAAAAAAACTGATTTGGAATAAATCTCCAGTACGCATCGGACCGCCTTTACCTTATATACTGTGTCCCATTATGCAAATCACTCTTTACTTCTTTATTTAATCAGGCAGTCTCAACAACAGGTCATCATTGCTAACCATGAAACGCAGTAGGCAGTACATATGTAGTGCAAACAAACCTGTTTGTCTGTCTGTGGGTGGCGATGGCGCAGTGGATAAGACACATGCCGTTTGTGTGGGAGACCGTCGACCACCGATGTGTCTGAGCAGGACTCTTAACCCCTGGTTGCTCCAGAGGCGTGCGGCCTTTGACATATATGGTAATTGTAAGTCGCTTTGGATTAAAGCTTCAGCTAAAATTAATGTAATAAAATGTGATGTCTGTGTGTCCCAGGTGTCCTCAGCAGGAACTGCACAGAGAACGGTTGGTCTGTCGTCTACCCCGCCATCACCATCGCCTGCTGGTCGAACAACACAGATGAACCCAGTGAGGGAGTTCAGCGTCTGTATGTCACTTCTGTATAAGTTATGTTTGTACTGATGATTGGTGACCTGGAAAGGATAAGCTTTGTGTTCTGATCTGAGCTCTGTGTGCTCGGTTTTCATATCCATATCATCATATTGTTAGTTAGTTAATGCAAAATAATCAGTAACACTTTATTTAGGTAGGAACCAGTGGGTCATAAAATAATAATAAAAAGGGGTCATGGGATAGAAAGAAAGTAAAAAACAACCAATTAATTTTACTCTAATATTTGCTTCTTGTGTGAAATATGGGATATTTTTACTTCTTCAAGCCTCATCCAGTTATTCAAATAAAACCATCAGAGATGTTTAAAAGAGACATGGAGACAAAGGGTCGCAGGTCAACATGGCTTCATTTTCACAAGCTAAAATGGTACTTGTCTAATTTCCTAGGAGGTTTCCTTGATAGCATTACGTAATTTTGAAACATGACAATCTAAGACAGTAACCAATAGAAGAAGAAACCAATTATCTTTTTGTATTATATACAGTTTTTGACTTGAAAGGAACCTGAATTTTAGCAACAGACATCCGGTTATTTATTGGAAACTTTACATTTCAGTTGACAAAGCAATCTCACTTAAAGGACCGTCGGGTGTGTTTCCTGGTTAAAACAAAAATCTACAAAATGCTGCGTGCAGGGTTTAATACCACAATGGTTTCCTTTTGTGTTTTCAATCGGAACAAGTTTACATGTGAAGTCCCACGTGCGGAGGAGAACGTTCTCATAAGTGCAAATCACAGATGTCTGTGGTGTAGGCACATTAGAGGATCTTATCTCCGTTTCAACCCACTTTCAATGCAAACCACCCACAGACCCACTTTTGAAACAGGCGAGACTTGGCTGATCTGTTTTGAAAAAAGCCGACCACGAATTAGTTTCAGTTTGTTTGTTTGTGCAAATTGTGTGCGGTGCAGACAGAAAACCTCCTTTTGACAGGTCAGGTCAGTATTACACAATTAGGAGCAGGTTTCAGTTTTCTGAACTCATGACGCTTCAAGAATCAGGAGTCTGAATGAAAATAATAAAACTACTAATCTAAACATTAATCCATCAGATATCTCCTAGCTGGATTTAGTTTGTTCTCACGGGCAAAATTAAAGGTTGGGAAAGAAACATAAGCACCAAAGATGCTCACAAGTCTCTGAGCTAGAGTCTAAGTTAAGTCTCAAGTCTCTCGTGGTTATAATGAATGTTGCCTGCTGCATTCAATCCAGGCTGCTTAAAAATCTGCATAGCTATAAGGGATTCTGTAACTGTAACCTGTTTTTCCACAGCACAACCATGTAATGTGCAACGCAGTTAATGACAGAATAAAAGCTTATTAATGACTGTAAGTCAACTCCAACTGCAGGCTCTCAAACCAGTGTAACGTTAACTAAATGAAACTGTAACGTTACATGATCAACAATAAACCTGTAACCTGTTTTTCCACTTACAGAGCACACCATGTGATGTGCAATGCGTCTACAACTAATGCGCTTATAAACTACTATAAGTCAACACATCAGACTCTCAAACCCGTTAATCGACTACCACAAGTTTGGCAAGTAAACGCTCATTCATAACGAACGACAGTTGGAGTTAACCTCTGGGAGGTCGTAGCTAAAGCAACAGCAAGCTAACGTTAGATGGCGAATGCTGAGCTAAACTGTCAGGAATTATACTAGAACCCAGATGCAGACACGGAGACAATGCAGCAGTTTATTGATTGAAGCAGAGTGAGCAAACTAGGCAGGGTGAGGTGGCAGGGAGTTTCCTTCTAAGCTGTCTGGACTGTGGCTGGAAGGGTTGCATCTTGGACTTCGAGAGACTTGGAACTGGCAGGCAGGCTGAGCAGGTAGAGCAGGCGATCTGGAGACAGGCGGAGAGAAACTATTTAAAGCAAACTGGTTACTTGATTAACAGGCTTAAAGCTAGACGCTAAGGCAAGACCTACGGTACACGACTTAACAATCCGGCAGGGAATGGAAGTCTGGTCTCTCCTTAAGAAGAGGGAGGGATGGCAGATCAGGAAAGGTGCGCGATTACCAACAGGTGCAGCTAGTGCCAACTCAGGAAGCCGACACGCCCAGGATTGAAAAAACTGAGAGAAGGGAGGGAAGAGAAACAGAACAAAAACACACCAAGCATGCCTCACTCACCCAAAGGAAAAAACAAATCGAAACACACTCACTCAGTCTCAAACTCAGGTGACAGATGCAGGAGTCATGCATGACATAAACATGTTTACAAACCTCATTTCCTAAAAATAAACATTGTTGATTGAGTCCCGCACCTCGAGTCTCGAGGAAAAAAATGTGTAATTAAATTCAGTTACATATGAAAAGGTTACATGATTACATTGGATGTTACATCTAAATATTTTCTGTAAAAAGCTCGGCTATATGTTTCTCATTGTTGCACATTGTCTTCCTTTGCCGTTTCCAGCCACAAAGTTTGATGCTGTTCTGATGCTTCTGATTGGTTCTCATGTTTGAATTTTCAGCGCCACCCGTCTGCCAGTTAAATTACCTCTCAAGCTGTCTTGTAAAAATGGTTAAGAGTAGAAAACTTCGAAAAGGAATCAAAAAGTAATTAAATGTATATGTTACATCACTAAAGTAATTAAATTTTAAATAGGGTAACTTTTTATTGGTAACCTCCAAAGCAACACTGTTCACTGTCTCTACATTGTTATAAATGGTTTTGGGCCAGTTTGGGCCGTATGCACTACATAAAGTAGATGTTTATAGTATAGTCCCAATGAAGGAAAATTTTATGTGTCAAGGATCAGATTTCATCTCCCCAGTTTCTGTTGCATCGCTTCTTATCCACCAATAAGTGGTGTATTAACAAGGCTGATTTCATATCAGCTCAGTGTTTCAGCATCTCTGCATGTGTCTTCATAGATGACACTGTGACCGATAAACCGAGAGGAAGCTCGGGGTTGAGAGAGAGTATATCAAATGCGAGGAAAGAGAGTTTTTTTCTGACCCCAAGCGACCTCTTTCTCTCGTCAGGCCACAGAGAAATTATCGTTTCCTCGTTGTGTTTGTGTTTCTGCACTTACAACATCATCAGGTCTAAACTTCAATCTTACCTGCCTACATGAATACCACCTGTAAAACTCCACATCAACCTCACGTCCCCAAATCCAGACTAAACACTAATTCTGAGCAGGTTTTGAGTTTGTCGGGTGTGAAAAAAATGACACCATGCGAAGTAAATACAGTCAATGTCTGAGTGTGTTGGTGATGGATACTATTTTACCACAACGCAAAGGAAATGGAAGAGCTTCACAAAGCTGAAAGAAAATTAAATATACTGCGGGTGATGGTGAAACAGCTCCAGAAAATATTAGTTTACAAAGAAATAAGTATTTTTAAATTTTAAAAAAAACCTTTGATGTCTCTTTGGTGAAGTTTTCTTGCTTAATTAAAGTTGCAGTTTGATAACGTCTGACGTTGCATAAAGCCTTGTATCATTTCCTGTGGTGATATTTTTTTATATTACCTGCTAAAACAGGATTTTATGATGATGATGATGTTTGTAGTTTATACTGTATTTAAATTATTATTATTGAGTGTATGGATTTGGGACGCAGGACGATAAACATGTTAAACATTTAAAATTTTGGGCAAGCAGCGAATACACAGGTCACAATACATGGACTACTTCAAGTAGATAAATAAATAAATATAATAATAATAAGTAATAAATACAGAGGTTTACGATGCCTGGCACATGTCTAGTTGCCGCTGTCAGCAATATTTAAAAGCCTGATGGCAGAAGGAATAAAATAATTTGCATATCTGTTAGTTTTCCTTGGGGGGGAGGTAGCGCCGTCCTGAGGGCATTAAACAGAATTCCTGACTAAGAACGTGGTCAGGATGACTCACGACCTGTCCAGCCTTCTGGAGCACCTGTTTTTTTCCAGAGGGAGCTCAGGTCTGTCAGCTGATCGCCACTGATGTTGGAGCAGATAATCCATAAAACCTGCAGATAAAAGAAAATGTTAAAAGACTTTCAATAAATGAATAATAAAAGTTGCATAAGATGCTCTGGGAAACATTAAAAGAATTTAGTTTAGCGATTGACTCTGTGTTTTTGTCAAACTTGAGGTTGGAGTCTAACATGGTTCCTAAGTACGTCTCTACAGTTTCAACATTTTCTCCATGAGTGATGCTGGCTTCTGGGTTAAAACGGTTCTTCCTAAAATCAATGATTAACTCCTTAGTTTTTGTCACATTAAGGTCCAGGTAGTTATAATCACACCATTTCACAAATGCTGATAAGGCACTCCCGTGGCCTGATTGAGCCCCCTGGTACTTTTTGCATCAAATAACGCTTTGTCAGCCTTTCTGAAAGTGTCAGTATCCGACGCCCTGAGATGAGAACAGACAACAACACGCGAGTAATTACTCACAGGCACATTAGTGGGAACCTTCTTTGACAGACAGGACCGTTTGGCAGGCAGCACGGATTTGGTACCTACAAGGAGTTAGAGGTTTTATAAGAGACAGTGTTCTCTTAAGAGATGAGGTTTCAAGAGCTTCTTGAAGTTAGAGAGGGACGCCCCTGCTCTGATGGCGTGTGGTAGCTCGTTCCACCATCGTGGTGTCACAGATGACAGCCGGGACTGGGATCGCTTTGTGTGAAGGGATGGCAAAACATAAATTATAAGAAGAACAAGATGACCTGCATGGCTAGATTTGTGCGAACCAACCCTTTAAAGAAAGAGTTCAGGAGGGCAGTGATGTGGACTCAAGACCTCTGAGTTTATGTTCCTAAGCTTTTAAAAAGGTTCCTGAGGTGGAAAAAGGGCATTTTCTGTTTTCACATTTAACAAAAAAGAACATTTGGGGTTTCACTGCTGCCAAAAACAGTGTGATCAGCAGACAGAAAACATCCACGGTACCAGGATTGAGAGTTTTACCACGCTGACCCAGTCTCTTGTTGTGTGGACTTGTGGCGAGACACTGGC